GAGTTGATCAGCCCTGCTGTTTAACTCTAAGTTTTTCTTTGTAAACAAGACTGTATCAAATGGCTTCGCCAAAATCCGGTCCACATCATTCAAACTCTCTGCCATTATGTGCAGCTTGCTACCTAGCTAACTCGCTAGCTGGGACTGGCGCGAGGCTAGAGTGAAGTGTGTCTGCCTTTGAGTGGTTTGTGACGGAGGAAGGGCTCAGCAGCACCCGCTGGACAGAAACTGTGATAGACGTCAGAAAGAGTGACAGAAGTCTGTCTAAACACAAGCAGATACAATAAAACCCACCAGAAATAAAAAAAAAAAAACTTGATTTGTTGCTAGTTGTTTTTAACAAAGAAAATGCAGCTAAGAGGATTAGGAAAGTCTCTGGTTCAGCTCAGAATAGAAACGAAACTAAAAACTGCTCCCACTGAATGTTTACACCAAAAGATCTCTGATTCGCTCATTTCGCTGTCAATCAAAAAGGGATTCAGGCTCAGATAGATCATCCAATCATCATGCAGAATCTGGGCGTCGGAACCCGCCCACTGCTCCATAGACCACCAGAGACGCTCAGTGTCCGGGGGCGGGACAAAGCCCAGCATTTATCCAATGACTCGTCTCGTTTCGCTGCATTTTTTTTGCTTCACTATTGAAGTCTGTRGAWGCTCAGCGTCCGACTGTTTAAAGCACTGTGAAGCTACGGGAATGAGGGAGAGGAAAGCTGCGTCGTTACCAGTGATAAGAAGCTGATTCTGAACAAAAGTTGAGCGTGTTATAGCGCATATTTAGTCAATGACATGTACACAACAACAGTATATATTTGATCTTTTTTAATTTTTTTTACATTTTAGGAGAAGCTGAGCTTCCCTTGCAGTCTCAGAGCAATCGCCTCTGGTGCCTGCCTGTCCATTTCTTTTGTAATTCTGAAAACCTGTAAAAGTCTCAACCGTACTCATCCTGGAACGACCCCATCCCTTTGRTTCACTGTTTGGTCTTCATATTCAGATCTATCACAGTCCTCCACTACTTACTACTACTTACTTACCTATTGCTGTGCCCTGTCTCCTACCTGTGACATATCTGTCTGATGTTTTATGTATGTTTGATGTTTTATTACTGTCTATACACTGTTAATATTTTTCATGACTGTACAGCACCTTGTGAATCTATTTCTAAGAAAGGCACTTCATAAATAAAACTTTACTTACTTCTTACCCAAGGACACAAAAACAGAGACAGCCAGTGTTGTAGAAAGTACCATAAAGTGATATTTGAGTAAAAGTACAAGTATCTTACCCAAAAATTACTTTAGTAAAAGTTAGTTTCCTTTAGAAATATTACTTGAGCAAAAAGTCTCAAAGTATCTGATATTTTTTGTACTTAAGCATTAAAAGTAAAAGTATTGATTTAAAATGAGCAGTTAGGTTTTCTGTAAGGACATTTGTTAGGGGGAAAAAATGCAGAAATAAGTGTCTTTTTAAAATAATTAATTTATGCTAAATTTAAGATGCACTAGTCCAGCTGTTTCAGTTTATATACATATTTCAAGGCTGCACAAAGCTTTTCCCCAAAATGAAAATCTATCTGAGGGCTGCGGCCAAATGCAATAATATAATTCATGAAATACAAATACTTCTTAAGTACAGTCCTTTTATTTTAATGACTATGTCCTGCTGGAGTGTGACATGATTTGTTTGTGTACAAACTAATATAGTATCAGAGTTTTATATATTTATACTTCTCATTCAACCACAGTTAAATTCACTCTGTCTAGGAGGCTCAGTTTATATGGATAGTTTTTATTTTTTACAATAACAAGCTGGAATGAAAACAAGTAAAAATGAAATAAAAGTAATAACTTTCTACTTCTTGCCTTTTTACAAAATGTAATGAGTAGAAAGTACAGATAACTGTGTGAAAATGTAAGAAGTAGAAGTAAAAAGTAGGCTGAAAAATAATTACTCAAGTAAAGTACAGTAACAACGTATTTGKACTTAGTTACTTTACAACTCTAGAGACAGCTAGACTACCAGTTCCAGGACGACTCACCTAACTCTCCACTTCCACAGCAATATTGTTTTGAGTTCCCACGCAGAGGTTTAATGTTTTGTATTGACTGTATTGAATTGAGTATTTTATTTTGAAATATCCGGTTACCGAAACAGGATGTCACCTGTCACCACAAGTTGGGGAAATTGACAGTGATATTGCATCGCTTCATAGGTAAAATGCCTGCATATTAGCGACATATAACTTCATGCGTGTCTTTGATATGTTCAGTCTGAAGCTGGATTAATTCCAGGCTAATTAGCAGCTAATTCCTGACCTGGACAAAACGGCTATAGCTGCAGTGCTAGCAGACAGGAATTATACGTAGTTTCATTTTAAATATGATTTCACTTCAGYGTTATGCTGAATTTTGGAGTCAACCAAGTCTCAACATTACAATCACGACAACATTGTAGACTCCCGAAGTGTCAAAATGTATTTTATGAAAACGTCAGTGAGGCTTGTGAGGCTGACTTACCGTTAATGTTATGCTGACAGTTCAGTAGCCGTGGAGCATAGTTCACACAAAGAGCTCGTAAATATTGTTTTCGATAGTGGTTAAAACAGGCTAAAGAATAACTATAAACCACTACAGTAAATCCAAAGTTGCRCCATAAAAGTCTTGATCCTCCATGTTTTTCTTCACAAACGCCGCCATACTTTTGCACTCACCAATCCTTGCACAGGTACGGAAACCACGGAGGGACAAAATACCTTCGCAGAGAAAACTCGAGTCGTGAATAGATGGAAATATTGGCTGTAATTCGCATTAAAAACACAGAACAAAACAATACTTCAAACAACTTTCAAGAAAAGCTTAAAACCTTTAGATAAAAATGTATTTTAAAATAATTTGATGTTAATCAGGACCTAAATAAAGCACGGTTGACTAATGTTAAATGAACTGAAACATTATTTACATTACATTATTATTATTATTATTTTCTTTATTTTCCCAGGGGAAAAAACAATGGAATGAAAAAAAAAAACTATTTTCCAAGGAAGTCCTGGCCAAGATAGGCAGCATTCAAATCAATTGAATCTACCTTCCTGGCTGACCTGAATCTACCTTCAGTTTTATTTGCAGTTTTTGGACTATATAAATAAAAATTGTACAAATTCTCCTCCTTGYAAGAATGCATGATCCATTCTATTCTATTTTGTTCTCTTCTTAAAAAAAATTCTGAAAAACTTTTTTGTTTTCACTAAACTGTGCACGAAGTTTGACCTGCACAACTATCAGTGTAAAATGCTCCATCAGATGTGGGTTGGATGAAAAACAGAATTATTGATGTTTTGTTGAGTGTTTGAATAAAATCAAGAGTTAATTAAACAAAAATAAGTCCTATTGAACTTTTAAGTTCATTAGGAAAATGTAATCATTTGAATAGAAATACAAGAAATTAAAATATCTGGAGAAAACTTATCAGCCTGTCTAAGCATATGCTGCCATCTGCTGGTTGCCACATGAAGCTTTTAAGATCAAGATTCACTTTTGCCAGAAGTTTCAACATCATGTCATGGAAAAACTTGTGTGTATAATAATAAAAACTTAAAGGTTATTAGGCACAAAAATATTTGACTAAACTGATTTCTTTTGAAAATGCTGTGTGGATGTTTAATGATTTTGCTGAAACCTGCTAAAGAATCTAAGACAGTGCTGAAATATTTTAAATGTTGAACTGTTGATGCAAGTTGAATTTTAGAAGCTAAAAGTAGGAAGCACCATAACAAAAACAAATCTGTGAAAAAATGCTGACTGCAGAATTGAAGCTGTAATGAGGTGAAACGGTTTACATGAGCAAAAAGAGGCCGAACAGAGCACAAAAAACATGCTGAAATTTGTTGAAACTACATGAAAGTTGCAAATAAAAACCGGAATTACTAAAAGTGTAGCTGAGAAAGTAAAAACCAAAAATACCAAAGAAATTACGAGAAAATAATAACAGCTCAACAACTCAGAACAAAGTTAATTCAAAAATATGGAAATCACACTCAAAATTTCTAAACTTTCATTTAAAATATCTGTAGGGAACCTAAAATCAGTTTAACAAAGGTTAAATTGTCTAACAATTACTTTAAAAGTGGATGAACAAATGTGTCGATGGATTCTAAAGACGGCAGCACCAGTAAGTTTGGCTTGTCGGTCTCTTCAAACCTTGTTTATATTTGTTTTGTTTTTTTTATATCTACTGCTCATTGTACCGACTCTCGACTGGTAATCTCCAAACACTTTTTCATCTCCAACATTGGTCCAATACCTTGGATTCAAATGTGACCTGCAAGTCCCCAACCGGCAGCCAGTGCTATTGAAGGCCTGTTGTGGTGTTTCTTGGGGGGCTTGGGCACTGCCTGGGCCATAGTCCTCTTCTTCTTTGGAGTAGTAGGCCCCGCCCCATCTCCAGCACTGTCTTGATGTGCTGGATTTTGTGTGGGCTCCCACTTCCTAGCCACTAAACAAGAAGAAGGTGTTTTCTTTTCTTCCTCCTTTTCTTCGGGTCATGAAGGGAGAGACCCTCCAGGTCTGAGGCATTTAGGAAGTTTCACCTCCTGCCTCTCTACTGGCTGGCAGCGCTGATTGACTCACCTGTGTTGGATTGGCTCATTATCTCCCAGGCTTCATAAGGCTGCATTGAGGATTAGTTCTTCGCTGAAGCATCGCTACTCTATGGGTAAAGATCTCAGCCTGTTACCTGTCTCAGTCACCAGAGTTTGAATGATTTAGAATGATTTACTGAAAACTTAAAAATTTATTATTTCATATAAAACATTCATTATAATGATTCAGACAAAAATAATTATAAAATGTTTCATAATAAAGCTTAACCATAACGCTGGGTTTAAGTAAAATATTTCAACTTAAAAATCTATAATCWATTACTGTGGTTTCAGTTAAAGGTCAAGTAGTGATTTACATCAAAGCACAATAAAACATTGTAATAACATTCTTTTTGTGTTTTCTTTTGTATACATTGATAAAAGTATCAATAAAAAGAAGATTATTCTGTTTATCTGATTAATAAAAAGAAAATGTCTCTTTACTGTTTAAGAAAACCTGTTATGACTTTAACTTGAACAGAGTTCTGCCTCTCTGAAGGAGGTCTTCTGAGACCAAGGTCAAAGACAGGTGGAACTGTTTATTCCACCTCAAGGTGACCACTACAGAAGCCTTTCTTCTCTTCTGTTGCTGTTTGTGCAGATCTGGAATGTCTGAAGTTTGCAGCAGGCTGGAAGGAACATGAAGGAAAGTTATTTTATTTCAACAAATATAGACTCAGCTGGACTGACAGCAGACRTGTCTGCAGAGATGTTGGAGGAGACCTGGTGAAGATAGACAGCAAAGAGGAGCAGGAATGAAACACTGCTGCAGGTTCATGTTCTAACACATTTCATCACTTCATCAAGTTTCTTCATGTCAGGAAAGTCTCAGATATTTTCATCTTTTACTGCTCAGGAGTTTCTGGTGGGAAAACTGAAGAAGTTGAGTGAAAATATTGATGTCTCTTTCTGGGTCGGACTGACAGATTCAGAGAGAGAAGGCAGCTGGTTGTGGGCAGACAGATCACCTCTGAATGAAAGGTTTGATTAATTTTCTTTTAGAAACGTTTTTATTTTATTCACAATTTAAAATGACTGAGTTCTGTCAAGAGTTTTAATATGTCTGTTGTTTTCTGTTCTTTATTTCTTAGTTTGAGTTTTTGGATCAAAGGAGAGCCCAACAATGGGAATGGTATTATTAATGAAGACTGTGTGGTTTTGAAACTGGACAGAGCAGATGGTGACCTGCAGACTTGGAATGAATGATCAACACTGTATAATTCCTTCCAGATTCATCTGTGAGAAAACTCCAGGATCTGCTCAGAGCTCATGTGTGTGAAGTTCAGTTCAGTGTGTAAAACAGTCTCAGTCCAGGATCCAGAAGCAGCAGCCAGGCAGCTTTCAGGAACTTCATGTCACAAACAGTTAAAGCTTCCTTCTAGTTTGCAGCTTTCTGCAGATTTGTAGCCTTAATCTTTGTGTTTCTTGTCTTTTATTCTATGTTTAGGATTAAAGCTTCCTGATGTCATAAAACAAATCTATATTTATAGTCTGCTTTGAATGATTGAAACTGTTTCTAAACATCATAAACAACTAGTCTTCAGGTTCTGATGGGCCTGGTACCTCAGGTGGAGTTTTAGTATCTGAGGATCTGGTTCAGAAGTCCAGGTAAACCAGATGGATTAGGGACATGATTATTGGGTTTTAGTCTGTTCAGAAGATTTTTATAGATGTGATTTATTTGGTATAAAGTTCCTTTTTCCTTCTGTCAGAAAGTGTTTCAGTTTCAATAAAACTGTTTGCTTCTTTGTGCTTTTAATTGTAGATAAAGAAGAGATTAAATGAATAAAAGGAGAACTGATGTTTAATTTCTGCTGATAATCCATAACCTCCTCAGTAATCTGCTCCTCTCTTCTCTGATCAGGACCTTTTATTTCTTCTGAAACTTGTAGTTTCAGAAGAAAACCTAACATTTTATTTCAAGAGAAACCAGAGGAGGGCAGCACATCATGTTTTCTGATCTTTGAATGTCTTAACTACTAAAATAAAAAATTCTGAACAACAGACAAATGTTTAATTTCCCACAAATAAAATGAAATAAATGAGGAGTCAGTTCAGTTCAGTTTATTTGTATAGCGCCAAGTCACAACATGTGTTGTCTCAGGGCACTGTAAATGAAAAAAGAACAATCTAAAGAAGAAACCAGCAGATTGTGTTAAATCACTTCATCACAGTCTCCCATCCTGAGCAAACGGTGGAGAGGAAAAACTCCCTGCTAATCAGGAAGAAACCTCCAGCAGAACCAGGCTCAGGACAGGCGGCCATCTGCCTCGACCGGCTGCTTGGGGGACAGGAAAGAGACACAAACACAGAAGAACTGGTCCAGGATTGGTCCAGGTGCAACTTCTTCTGGAAAAAAGGCAAAAAGAAAAAAACATGTTAWTGATAGAAATAATTACAATAGACATGAAGAGAAGGGAGACTAAAGACAACAGCAGAGTGAGGAAATGTGCTCAGTTTGTGCTCCAGCAGTCTAAGTCTATAGCTGCAGAAATGAAGAATAATTCAGGAAACCTAAATCTAACTATAGGATTTATCAAAAAGGAAARTCTTCAGTCTAATCTTAAAAGTAGACAGAGTGTCAGCTTCACGGACAGAAACTGGAAGTTGGTTCCACAAGAGAGGAGCTTGAGAACTGAAAGCTCTGCCTCCCACTCTACTTTTAGAAACTTGAGGAACCACAAGTAAACCTGTAGTCTGAGAGCGAAGTGCTCTGTTAGGAAAATATGGAACAATAAGATGTTTAATATATGATGGAGAAGAAAAAAATTGTATAGGTCTTCTGGACGGGTTCTTCTCTAATGAAATGTTTCGTCTCTCCTCCAAGAGACTTCTTCAGTCTGAGAGTTTCAGGCAAAACCTATATAATTTTTTTCTTTTTGATTTTTTACCTGGATAACTGAGATGCATCAGGACACTATATGATGGAGCTTGATTGTTAAGAGCTTTTTATGTTAGGAGTAATATTTAAGGGTGTATTCAGATCAGGAAAGTCTTTTGGTCCACTTGTTTGGTCCAGACCAAAAGTGGACTTTATTTTTTTCGTTTGGTGCGGTTTGCATTCACATTGTGCTTTTTTGCAAATGAACTAACTTGTAAACAAAGCCACGAGGATGACAATCATTGCTCCCATTGGACAGAAAGGACGGATTGCTCTGAAGCTCGTGGGAGTGTTTGTGCTGAAAGCACTCACACTGTATTTTGCTTCAATCACTCGCTTCAAAAAATAAATACATACAAAATAACCCACTTGCTTCATAAGCCGACTGTACCAGGAAGCACTTTATAAAGAGAGTCAAACCATTACAAACTCATAAAAGGGGATAAAACAGACRTTTTACACGGTGAAATATGACTGATGAAAACTTAGGAGGCTAATCCGACACCAGTTTGACGATGGATAACGTCGGGTGACGAGTCTGACTTTTTTTTTTTCACATTGAACTCCATCCGGAAGAAATCCCGTGCATACTGCCTGCTTAAATGTTCGCTACGTCAAAACCTATTCAGCAAATGAGTTTCCATCTCTGCTTTTGCGCATCAACTCCATTACAGGATGGGGGAAATTGGTCTTGGCAGAGGTTTGCACTCTCCGAGTGCTTCTAGTTGTTCCATTCTTTCCTAACAGAGCACTTCGCTCTCAGACTGCAGGTTTACTTGTGGAGAGTGCACAAAAACGGCTGCACCAATCAACATGAAATTTGGCAGGACTATAGATGAGTCCGACCTACACTGCGCCAGCCAACGGTTTTATGATACACCCCATATTTGAGGAGGGGGCTCCTTTCAAATTGGAGGTGTCTAGACATGCAAAAATGCTTATAACTCAGAAACTGTTCAACATAGAAGCTTCAGATTTCTTTTGCTGTTTAGCTCTGATGAAGGGCTATCCATCAGGTCAACC